GGTAAACCTCTTCTTTAACTTATGTTAAAATGGGATGTGATTTGCATAATAATAACTATAGTGGAATCCAAAAAGGTGATGTCATTCCTGCCTGTCCATCACAGCAGCTAAGGGGGAGGAGCCAAGGATAGAGCAGGAGGGGGGGAGTTAGAGTGTCAGTTAGGGAGTTGAAGGGACAGTTAGAGACAGTTAGAGTTAGGGAGAGGTAGAAAGAGTCAGGGACCAGAAGATGTACAGAGAGTGTTTGGGTTTAGGAACGGGTTAAAGAGGTTTAGGAGAGAATATTGAAAGTAAAACACATGTAACAAGCAGGAATGAACTCCTAAGCATAACAAGAGATGTACAACATTGATAGTAAAGTGATTGACTACATGATCTTAAAAGGATTAACACCTGATCCAATTTACATATGATTTCCTGTTAAAGAATAATAAAAGAATACTTAATCAATCATAAACCCTGCTTCCTAAAGTATATGACCTTTTGGGGTGGCAGTTCCTGTGTGGGACTTGAGGTGGTATTAAGAGAATACCTGGTAGCAGCGAAAAGGGCGTGTTTACCTGTGTGGAGCCCTAGGAAATAGGGGCCACAAAGGGGTGATCACCACAATAACAAACATAAGTAATCCAAAATTGGTTGCTGTATAAGTCCGTTCATATAGATATATTCAAAATTCTAAGGCCGTGGTTCCCAGCCTTGGGTCCTCAGATGTTCTTGGACTACAACTCAGTAATCCTGGCCTGCATAGCTAATGATGGAGGTTTCTGGGCGTTTTTGTCCATGTGAGGACCCACAGTTGGGAAATACTGTTCTAGTGAATCAAAAAATAATGCCTAATGTGTCACTAATGTTATATAGGCCTATTGCTGAATTAGCAAATACACCTCACGCGTGAAATCACTTTTTTGTTAGCTACTGCCAATGTTATTGCTCGAATCTAGCAGCGTTAATTCCATGGTTGCTAACACTGAAATGCCTTTTCAGTTTGGCTCCAGTCCCAATCAGACAAATTTCTGATTTATAGTATTTGTTACCATACTTTATATTTTATACTTGTAATAGTCCTGGCGCCAACGTGTGGCCCTGGCACAAAAAACTGTAAACACTGAAGGAGTGTCTTAGTGGTTTACATCCTGTGGCTTAGTGTAGTAATTTGCAGCTAGAGTAGGCTGATTAAATAATAGAACTGATCAAGGAGCTGACTCACCAAATTCCCACTTATTCAGTGGTCTTATTCTAGTTGTGACTTACTACTGTATACTAAGTGACAGGAATTCAGCCAATAGATGTTTAGTGTGGGCACATTTCACCTTAATCATGTCTCTAGGAAAAGGAAAGGGAGAATTCTATGGAATTCTATCTGTTGAGCTTCTTCTGCCAGAGTTTTGAAATAATTAGTTGTGATCAATTAATTGTAACTCCATTTTCTAGTAACAAAGGCGTAATAAACTCTATTACAAATTTAATTTAATAAAAGTGAACTTTATTTCCTTTGTTGGGTAACCATGAATTCTATGATTTTTTATTATTATTTAAAAACTAGAGCAACTCACTCATTTAAACTGAAATTGCTCTTTTTTGCTTTGTGGCTGGGGATGATCTACCTCATTTTTAGCAGATCTTGGGCACATATTCCACCCATGTTGTCACTATACCATTGTTTGGTAATTAAGAGGAAAAAATCAGAAGACGCTATGTGCTATCAAGTCACTTCTAACGTGTAATGACTATGAGTTACTGACTTCCAAAATGTCATGTCATTAACCGCTCTGCTCAGATCTTGCAAACCAACAGTATCTAGTATTTTAAAATAGTTTAACACCAGAAATTGAAACTCTTTTTAATGCCTGTTTGGCTAGGAATGAAAACATTCTCCTGAGAGTCATTCTATTTGCTCTTGACTGTTTAGTTCTCCTCCCCACTCCCATTTTTGTGGAAATGCTTATGTTTAGAATGTTTGTGCTGACAAGAAAGCAAAAAACTCAAGATTTTTTCCCCCTCAAAGTATTTTAGAAGTATATTCAAAGTACTGTATTAGAGCCCCAGATGCCTGGTTTCCTTCCAAATTAAAAAAAGAATGGCTGGAACTAACCTTTTTTGAGGTAAGTAAGTTTAGCCTTTTCAGTATATTTGATCTGTTTTAAATCTGTAGACAGAAAACACTGCACATATCTGCACAGGGTGTGTGTGGTAAAACAGCATTATTTAAAAAATCATAACTCAAGACCCATTTGTCCACATGTCCCCATGTATGGGAAACCGTAAGAGCAGACTGTCTGCTACATCTATGCCAAATGTGATGCTGATCTGAAGTCAAGTTTCTAAGATATAAGTTTTTGTTTGGGACACCCATTTTTTGACTTGACTTGCAGAATGCTGAACTGGGCTATTGCACAATATTGCTGCGCACCTATGCAGCAGTAATGAATTAAACATACGCTTGTGCCATTCACACAAATCATTTTCAGGGGCACTCAAAAGCACCTCAAAAAGCCAGACAGATTTTCACCAAATTTGGAGGGTATGTTTGGAATGGTATGAATTAAAAATATGTTTGTGGCAGTCACAAAGATTATTTTGGATATCTCATAGAGACAGATTTTCACCAAATTTGGAGGACATATTTGGGATGGTTTAAATAGAGACACAGACTGTATGTCCTACATTAAAACAAAACACTTGACAGCTTTTATTTTCATTCTATATAGAATCATGTGCACATCCTTTCAATGAGCTTAGTTCAAAAATTCACATATTTTGAATTACATTATATTTTTATAGGTGGGGCTTCCAAATGTTAATTAACTGGGGACAATACTGACTTGAGGGATTCTGGGCGTTTCACTCATTGGATAAGCTGAGTGAGTGCCAAGATGGGGAGAGAGAGAGAGAAATTAGCATGGAAGAAATGCACAGAGGGAGAGCACAGGGATGAGATTAGGACTCATGGAATTTTAACCTGGACAAATTTGGGTTCATTTGCTGTTTATGATACAGAAACATATGATCAGATTTGGTACAAATTCTGCAGTGGCAACATAAGCATAAGAGTCTTATGCATTTTTACTTATAAATTTCAGTGGATGAGAGGACATCTGATTTTTTTTCCCTTTATGGATTGGGGGACATCTGGTTTTTTTCTTTCTTTCTGAGAATTTAGTCACATGAAATAAATGCACCATAATAGCCCATGTCTTTACCACTGAAGGATATTTCCAGAGCAGGACAGAAATGGTCTCAGGAGGAACATCAACAAACAGGAGATGTTTCAATGACCTAATAATTAAAATTATTTACATACTCAGAACAGAAACATATTTTGAAAAAAAAAAACTTAATTATTTGCATAATCTGCCACAGGGTGAATGCCTGAAACACAGTGAAGTAAATGTACTGAAATATATCCATGGATACACATTATCGAAATAATGACTATTTGTGAACTATAAGGACTAAGAAAGAAAACCAAAAGGTAATTTTCAAGTTAAACATTATGTTTAATTAACTCATCTTGTTACCTGTATTTCATACAGAAAACCTGACATATGGATCTCATCTTACATTTTATGTATTATTTCGTAGAAATACATATTAGTTTCTTTTGCTTCTTCACTTATATATAGTTGCTCTGTGTTCATAATTCTAAGGAACAGATGATTGCTTGCAATACTTTCAAATGATGACTTTCTTCAACGAAACCTACATTTTCTTATTTTTGAAGATATCATAAAGGGATAACGCAAAATAAAGTTGCATTTGCCTACTTCTTTCACTTGCTTTATGCACATTTACAAAGATATCCAATTGAGGAAAAAGTGAGTCAACATATACACAAACATAAATATCTTCTTACTTCTTCACACTTACCTGATATGACACTGCTTTTTTCCAAAATGAGAAAAATATGCTTTCCAGACTTGAAAGCTGTCTGTTTTCACATGCTTATATATATACATATGTATATATGTAATAAAAACTTTTCATGATACTAATTATGTCTGCCTCACTAACTAGTGGACATATCTGGCCATTTTTGTAGATCAGTCTGTTAATTCTGGTAGCAAGCCAATTAACACTGTGCATAAGAACTGCCCTTGAGTATTTGTCAAGGGAATTTGAAAAGCTGGTGGTTTTCAGCTCTGTACATCTTTAAGACTACACACAATTTTACTGGAAAGGTAAAATCACTCTTTCTTTGGAAGAAAAAAAACCTATATCATAATATGTCAAGACAGTAATTAAATAAACTTATTAGTATGGTGCATAGTGAGAAAAAGGGAATTTAAATTTCAGAAATGAAACTAGGCATGTTTCTCATAATTCTCCACTGTCAACATCAGAGCTTTTAAAGTTATGTGGCTTAGTGGACTCCCTCTGCAACCCCCTGTGAACGAGATGACATAAGTGGGTGTGACCATGCCCTCTGACACCATCAGGCTGCGATCAAAATAAGTGGAGTTCTTCCACCTGGAATCCTTTGTGCACAGCAGGAGATGAAGCTGAACATGTTCCATATGTGTTGTTTCCGACGCATTTTTGTATCATCTGGCAGGACGAAGTTCCAAATAGAGTAGTCCTAGAACAAGCTGGAATTTTTAGCATGTATACATTACTGAAACAGCAACATCTACGTTGGCTCGGGCATGTCGTGAGAATGGCTGACGGTCAGATTCCAAAAGGTCTCCTGTATGGAGAATCAGTGCAGGGAAATCATCCCAGAGGAAGACCACCACTGTGATACAAGGATATCTGCAAGTGGGATCTGAAGGCCTTAGGAATGGACCTCAACAGATGGGAAACCTTGACATCTGAGCGTTCAGCCTGGAGGCAGGTGGTGCAGCGTGGCCTCTCCCAATTTGAAGAGACACTTGTTCAGCAGGCCGAAGCAAAGAGGCAGTCCTGAAACCAGCAAAATCAGGGAGCTGGACATATTGTATTTGTTTTCAGTGTAGAAGGGATTCTCCCTCTTGCATTGGCTTCTCAGCCACACTAGACGCTGTTCCAAGTCCTCTATTCAGAGCACGTTACCATAGTCTCTCGAGACTGAAGGATGTCTAATCTAATCTAATCCACTTGGCACTTTAACAGGGGAATCATGTTTGCTCCACTTCTCTAGGTAGAAAAAAAAATAAGAAGTGAAGCTGACTGCCCTTAGCTAGCCTTCTCATGTAAGGGGAAATAGAGAAAAGTACTCTTAGCCAGAGCTTGCAAAAGGAAATGGAGATTAGGTGGCTTTACTCTTCCCTGTGCATAGAAGGGGAAGAGGGGTGAAGAACTTTGAGCCACCACCTGCAAACATCAACTGACAGCACAGGTTCACAACCCCTCAGAGAATCAGCAGCACAAACAACCAAGAAACTATTCCCTTCATGGTGGTCTCTGGCGTGGAGCTTAGAGGACAGAGGAGGCACATAGCAGGCTGGAGCTTGCCTGTGGGCATGATAGGGAAACTCTGTGGGCCAGATATTGACCCACAAGCCTGGTTTTGACTCAAAACCCCCCAGTTTTACACAATGTAATCCAATGCATATTTACTAAGACTGTCCCATGGTACATGGTGGACCTTACTCTTTAGTAAGTATGTTTTGGAACGTAGCCTGAATGTTTCCTAAAAGAAGCTCTATGTCTACTAAAAATGCTTGCTAAATTACAATTGTTCCTTGATTGTTCTCAAATATCACAATTATTTGGCACACGTATATGGCTCAGGCAACAGTGAGCTCACAATATTGCTGTTTGAGAAACACAAGCTGTCAAGAAATAACAAAGTGTCCAGCAGTATAAACTCCATTAGAAAAAGCTCTCATGCGGAGCAAAGCTCACCAACAAATTGTCTCAGTTTGCCATACATACTTGTCATTATGGGGTTCCCATCAATAAATAAAATGTCAGTGCAACAATAAGCAGCAAGCAGAATGGAGAAGAGAAGGTCTGATAGGCAGCAGATGGCATGAAAATATCTTCATACTTGTAAATACTGACCACACGCTCTGAGACAGGAGGAGAATCAATGTCGTGTCGAGTTATAGAACCTAAAATAGTTAAAGGACAGGAAGAAAATCTAGTAATCAAATAGCTTATAGAGTAATTTATTACATACTTGTATTCAATTTTCACTGAAAACTGTAATCCAGAAGCCAAATGATAAATCAGTCTTATAGCAACCACTTCATTAGATTGCACCAAAACAGAATAAGCAGAGCTTTCAATCAGCTCCTGTCCCCAAATGGTTCCTTGTTCTTCTCAAGTTTAATAAAGAAGCAAAGTGAGGGGGAGGGGGAATCTATCTTCCTACCAGCAGAATAGTTTCTATCTCAAGTTAGTCAAGTTGAGATCTGGTGCTTGAGATTCTTTTCTGCTGCTCCCTTCTCCTCTTTTCCACTTGTTTCTGTTATTCCATGTAGCTTTTGCTTAAGCTGGGATGTCTTTGTTCCCCTCTTATGTTGCTCAGCCAGGAATTCTATGTCAGAGCGCAGGATGCAACCAAACCCACCTGAAAAAAGGTTGCCTCCAGTTCTTTTCTTCTATAATTTGAACAATGGCAAAAACTTTCTAAAAGCTAATTTTGGTTTTCTTCACATCACTGGATTTCAGAATTACCATATTTTTCTGTTTATAAGATGACCCAATGTACAAGATGACCCCCCCTTTTCTAACTCCAAATTAGAAAATTTGATCCCTGTTTTCCCCTTCCTCTTGCTAAGCCACGGAGGTCAGCAAAAGGAAGGAAAAACAGGGATCAAAGGCTCCCTTTGACCGCCGCTTTTCCTTGCCTTTTGTGAAGCCACGGGGCCTAGTAAAAAGGAAGAGAAGGCTCCCTTTGGGTAAAGGCTGCATGATCGCACCCTTTGATCATGAAGCAGCCATGAAAGGGCTTCAGGATCAAAGGGTACTATCATGCAGCCCTTTGACAGCTGCTTTACCTGAAGGGAGCCTTCCCTTCCTTTTTTGCTAAGCCCTGTGGCGTCGCAAAAGGCAAGGAAAGTGACTGCCTTCTGTGTATAAAACAACCCTCAATTTTTTGTCTAATTATTTAAGGAAAAAGTGTCGTTTTATACACAGAAAAATATGGTATTATTTTGAATTAGCTGCCAAAGGAATATTTGAATAATGGCCATGGAACCTCTGTGCATGGCAGAACATTTGGACTGTTTGTTGGGCACCACCACTGTAGAAAAACCATCTTCCAGACAGATTGTCTACTGTTACTGACCAAGGAACATCTGAAATAGGCCTCACCATTATTTTACAGTAATGGAATGAAACACAAGGAAACCAACATACCTTGAATTGCTGGACCCCAAGCAAATAAATAGTACCAGCTCAGATGAAGGTCCACTATAGTTTCATCCCTGGGAACCTTCACAGGCCGCTTGAATCGACATGTTACACGATTGTTTTCAAAAATGCCCTCTTCATCTCTAGCAGGATTCCTCTGTATCTCTTTAGCCCACTGACCAACATTGTAAAAGTGATGTATTCTGACTCTTCCATTGTCATCATGAACACAGGCCATAACATCATCTCCGCCCTAAATGAAGAGAAACTAAGTAAGAATTACACTGTGACACACCAGTTCTATTCCCACAAAAATGGAAATCTTGTTCACATCTGCAAGTCACTATGAGGCAAATAATGTTAAAGACTTGGTTACTTATGTAATTATGGTTCTTTGAGTGGTAATCCATGTATTCACACAAAATGGGTGTGTGCACCAGTGCGACACTGCTTTGGAAAGTTCCAGAGCCTCAAAAATGAAAGTGCCTCAGTCTATACCGCATGAGCGTGGCCCCACTTTCCTCAGTCCCAGCTGTCTGCCACAAGAAAAAAAATGCGGAAGAGTGGAACAAGAAGGAAGGTGGGCAGGATTGTGTGGATACATGGATCCCCATTTGTGAAGCTGGGAGTAACCCCAGGGGTACTCTACAAGGTGTACCATCTGTCTCTCAGGGCAGAAAAGCAGAGGAGGAGACAGAAACTATTGAAAGAGGGAAGAAGCAATTAGAGATAGGAACAGAGTCACTAGAGGGTGCCATTTGGGCAGGAAAAGAGAATAAGAAGGAGGGAGAGAAGGGAGTAGTCGAAGGGAGGGAGAGAAAGAGGTATGTTGGACAGAAGAAGATGTACAGAAAGAAAGTGAGGATTTGGTAGAAATAGTTCAGGAAGATCCATGGACTGGAGAGTGGGTCGAATTTAGAGTATCCCGAGAAGGAATGGAAAAGGCAAGTATATAAGAAGGCACCATACTGGGATGAAACAGAGGAGAGGAAAAGAAAGAAAGAATATAGAGCATGGATAAAAAGGGGAAGAGCAAGCAAGGGAACAGAGGAGATGTTTGACATCAATGGTGAGACCCTGTGGGCCAAATGCTTTCAGACCCCCAGTGAGACAGAACAAAAGCAGGAAAGTTTGGGAGCCGCAGGTGGGCTGGGTGCACCAACCCCAACCTTAATGTGGATGGACAATGTACTGGATACTTCAGGCACCAGACACAAATGGACGCTTGACATTAAAAGTTCATCTCTTTTGTTTCAAGGAGAGTTACATGGTTTGACTAAAGTTAAAACATATGATCGGTTGTTACAAACTGAAACTGATGATAAGCAAGTGATTAAAACTGACGACCTGTCAGAGAATAAACCTGTTTTATTAGAAGACTTTGGTCTCTCACCGCCTTCTTTACATAAGAACACAAAGAGAGGAAAAGGACATAAAACATAATCACACCATTCAAAGAACCATAGTTACAAAATGGTTGACTAGCAAGCTATAGATTGGAAGTAGGAGTTAGGCTAAAACAGGCTGTGCAAATGCTGCATCTTACTGAGCTCTAAGATCTAATCTATAGTGTGTGACAAAGATCATTGGATGGAACCAAGTTGCTGCTCAGCAGATCTCACACCTTGAATAAAGCCCATAGAGGAGCAAATTGCACTTGTGGAGTGACTGTGGAAGCTCCGAGGTAGGGTCTTGTTTGCTAGTTCATAAGTCAGTGCAATTGCCTGAGTTATATATTTAGAAAATCGCTGAGAAGAGACCAGGTGTTCCTTCCTAAGACCTTGGTAAGAGAACAAAAGTTTAGCTGTTTGTCTAAAATCTTTTGTTTTGTTTAGGTAAAAGGCCAAGGCTCCTTTGACATCCAGGGAATGAAGGGACCATTCAAGGTCATTCTGTGGAGAAGGATAAAAGAGAAGGATAAATGGGTTGAGAGATGGGGAAACGGGATGCCACCTTGGGTATGAAGGCAATGTTTGTATGGAAAGTAATCTTATCATGAGAGAAGACGAGGTATGGCGAGTCACAGTGAAGGGCTGTAAGTTCTGCAGCCCCATGAGCCAATGTAAGGGCCACAAGAAGTGCTACTTTGAGCGTTAGTAGGCAGAGGTCCATTGCAGCCAGAGGTTCAAAGGGGTGCCTCATGAGCTGTGATAGAACTAAGGAAAGAAAACACAGGTCATGAGGAGGGAGCTCATATCTGGGTAGGGATTCTGAAGGGCCTTGAGAAACTTCTTAATGGTTTGATGTTTGAAGAGTTGTGAAGATGAGTGGCTCGCTGGTTGATGCACCACTATGGCTACCATACAAGAGGTGGAAAGTCCCTTCTGTTTGAGGTGGAACAGGAAAGTAAGGACAGTGGAGAGAGCTGCTGGTGAATACGGCCAGCCCTGTGCCAATGCATAAAGTTGGAAACATTTCCATTTATAAGCATGTAGACAGTTAGTCGGAGAAAGCCAGAGAGTTCCAGAAAAATATCTACTTCTCCTTCGTTGACTATGCAAAAGCCTTTGACTGTGTGGACCACAGCAAACTATGGCAAGTACTTAAAGAAATGGGATGCCTGACCACCTTATCTATTTCCTGAGAAACCTATATGTGGGACAGGAAGCAACAGTTAGAACTGGATATGGAACAACTGATTGGTTCAAAATTGGGAAAGGAGTACGACAAAGCTGTATATTGTCCCCTGGCTTATTTAACTTATATGCAGAATACATCATGTGGAAGGCTGGACAGGAGGAATCCCAAGCTGGAATTAAGATTGCCAGAAGCAATATCAACAACCTCCGATATGCAGATGATAACACTCTGATGGCAGAAAGTGAGGAGGAATTAAAGAACCTTGTAATGAGGGTGAAAGAGGAGAGTGCAAAAAACGGCCTGAAACTCAACATCAAAAAAACTAAGATCATGGCCACTGGTCCCATCACCTCCTGGCAAATAGAAGGGGAAGATATGGAGGCAGTGACACATTTTACTTTCTTGGGCTCCAGGATCAATGTAGATGGAGAAAGCAGCCACGAAATTAAAAGACGCCTGCTTCTTGGGAGGAAAGCTATGAAAAACCTTGACAGCATCTTAAAAAGCAGAGACATCACCTTGCCGACAAAACTCCGAATAGTCAAAGCTATGGTTTTTCCTGTCGTGATGTATGGAAGTGAGAGCTGGAC